GGTATGGCCTAAGGTCTACTTTAACCCAAATATAATACCCCCGGTATCAAGCTTAAAAAATGTCTTCCCAGGCCAATCCAAATCGCTTGTTAAAAATGTTAAAAACGTCATATCAACTATGCTAAAATGTTGAGAACGTGAAAATATTTCAAGTCATACCCAGCAATCATTGGGAAGGTGTTCACTGACAAGATGTCCCCACTGCGCACGCGCCGTGACGTCACAGGGTTGTGTCCCCCGTCAGTGTTGATCCCTGACTGGACCCAGGCCCAGGCTGGGGGAGAAAAGGAACTAATTTTATGGATGACAGCCACACGCGTATTGATTTTTGCCTGTTCACAAAAAAAGATCACATATCCTCCGAGCCCAACGCTCTAGGCCTCGGTAGTCTATGGTGGTTATCAAGAATACGAATACACCCAGACTACCGAAGTTCCACGACTCAAGAACTCGTAAAATACGTACAGTGCCGATTCATAAATTCCGCAAAAAGCTAGTATTTGCCTGCTTGCCGTATACCTGTATACGCTATGTACTGCCGCAAATTTTAGGATACAAGCTTTGTATTCCTGTGGTTTAGTAGCATATTTTTATTTTTGTTCCGGAATTTTTTTTATTCGCCCGCGCGCACTAGTTTGGGGGCCTGCAGATGTTTACAGGTGTGGCCGTATACTGCAGAAAAAATGGGACAAATACTGAGACAAAGATGGATGACACTGCGGCATTGTATCACAAATAATAAAAATTGTGACCACCGGGTTATTCTGCATTCAAGAAAAGGATTGTGTGTATAGATCATTGAGAATAAAACATATGAAGGCAACAGAAAATATAACAATTGTAAGTAAATATTGTATTTGCATAATGTATATACAGTCATATGACAAAATTCCGATCCTTTCAGGTGTAACCAGCCACAATGGCGGCAGTAACGTCACGTGACACAGCCTTATAAGGAAGTTTGTACTGACTATTCATGAGTTCGCTGTGCGGGTAGGTCCTGGCCACTTCCCTCGTCATGACGTTGGCAGCGTGGATCGCCAGCTCGTACTCAGGCACGCCCTCTTCTAGCGCCTCCACTACAGCCCAGCCGCCCAGGTCAGCAATACGGGCGCCTTCTCTGCTCTAATCACGGCAGGAAGTGTGCCATAGATAGAGGGATGTAAGAGGGAGATAGAGAGAAGGGAGGGAGAGAAAGAGAGAGAGGGAGAGAGAGAGAGAAAGAGAGAGAAAGAAAGAAAGAGATCAGAAAATAAAACATCATTCAAGGTCGATTCTAACTTATTCTAAGAAGCTTTGGGAATAACCGTTTGAAAAGTTTGTCTCCCACCATGTATACTATACTCAATAGTATTAGGATACATTGTTTTGACCGAATTGGTCACAAGACATAGTTCTTATGTAGACACAATGAAGCCTAAATGTTTCAGCAATACAGTCAGATTCAGTATATTGACAGCGGCCGCGTGAATATCTACTACAAGCATGTCAGTATATAGCAGGAACATGTTGAACATACGCACTTGATAAGCGCGATTTCCTCGTCCGATTTCTTCACGCGCAGTGGCATGGTGGCCCTCCCTATGTCTGTTATCTGCATGTCGGGGATGGCGAGCTTCAGCCTGGCGAAACGGTCCTGTGACAAGTGGTCGAGCTCCACGCCCAGCGTCCTGAAGCCTCGCCCCGCTAGCTCCACTCGGACCGCGTGGTAGAAGTTGTCTGGCTGCCAGTCGGTGTAGACGACGTTGTCGCCGATCTGCGTCCTTCTCCAGGGTTGGCCGCCGTCAACCTCTACGATGTTTCAAATGGAAAATTCTATCAGTGAGCAAAATAGAAAGTTTCAGTCCGACCGAATTGTGAAAAAAAATACAATTTCCACTTTCTCATAGCATTTTTTAAAATTTCTTTTGATAGCGAACGGTTGCGTACTTGCGGATATGGTGAGCACTTTGTCCATGGTGACGACCAGCCCGTAGTCCCTGCCGAATGAGGTGTACAGAAAGTCGCTGTAGTAGTTGATGTTATGGTAGGACGTGAAGAGGACGGCGTCTACTTCGTTGCTGATCATGAAGGTGCGCAGCAGGTTGAGTCTCCGCTGGAGTTCCTCCACCGAGAAAGTCGGCTGGACCTGTGGGAAGGACAGGAATCATGTCATGAGTGTCAGCGGTCCAGGGAGAGAAACCTGCATTAAAAAAAAAAAACTCGTCTCGTAGCAGCCCACCACGTACATAGTTAGTCTAGTACCATCAAATTATACCGTGGTCTCCACCAGACTTCTTTTGCAGGCTGAGTAAATCGTAGAAATCGGCCTAAAAAGGGTATTAATTGGCGAAAGAAGGTAGCCGGCCATCGACGATCAAATTGGCCAATTTGATCGTCGATGGCCGGATACCTTCTCACGGCGGTCTGTCACTACGGCATTCTTTCCCATTGCTATGCGCGTTCGAAAAGGTATCGGGTTACAAGACGCTATTTTGGCCTGTTTTGGACTACCCGTAAAATATTTGAAAATAAACAAATAATATTTAGGGGTAAATTTCGTCAAATTAAAATGAAATTATCGTCTTAACATCCTTTAAATGTTAGCTTTTTATGCTAAATCACTGATTTTTTAAAATTTCGCTCAGAAAGACGATTATTTTCGGGTTTCCGAGCACAAGTCATGTCACGTTTTTAGGCAAACATCGTTCAAACCTGGCTACGTATATTACCCCAGATCCCCGATTTTTATATTTTTCGCAGACTAGGAATAAGATAAAAAATCGTGTTTTAGGGATTTTTTAATTTCTGATTTTAAGTCTAGTTTTTGTCGACATATTGGTGAAAAAATGGCATTTTTTGACATTTTTCTCACTAAATTACCCATAATTCAAAATTGAGGCCATTTTTCAAAAATCCCTAAAACACGATTTTCGGGACAACCGTTACAGTCATTTTAAGCCGTAAATGGGGTATGTTTGACTCTCCATGTTTCCAGGTTTGAACGAGTTTTGGAGACATGTCATATCGCCAGAAAGTGTGCATTGTGTTATTCATACTGGTGTAAAGAATCATTACAGTATTCAAGGTCACTCAAGGATACGACAATAGCTTCGCCACATGTTACATACCCACCAAAAATAATAGCGGACATGTACTGTCCAGGAAACCGTTTGTATCTATAGAAAAGTGTTGTTTTTTTATCTGTTGCAATGCACGGAGGCAGAAAGGCTTGTTTTGCCGCTTTAAAGTAAATGACCGCAGGTGACCCCGAAATAGAACGCGGGTTCGATTCGAATTCCCCAGATCGAACACGATCGAACACAGTTCGGGTTCTTTGGCATGTGGGAACTTTGTAGCCCAGATTTTACCACCGTGTCTCTTTATTCAGCCTGCAAAAGAAGTCTGGTGGAGACTATTTTGATGTCTCCTGATCATTGTAACGTATGATGTGATAATATCCAGGTGGGACAAAGTGGTCCTACTTTGTATCTTGGGTACCTTAGCCTAATAAAATCCATAAAACCACTTTGTGCTATATGTAGAACTGAAGGTACCTTCTGTCCGTTTCGTATGTCGAGGAGCCGAGGCATCAGACGCTCCGACGGGGACCCTGTACGTTGTACATACAACAAGGAAAATTTCAAATAAATCAGCATGTCTAGTCTACCTTATCTCTCTGTATCTCTGTCTCAGCTTTTAGTTTGTCTATATATATAGTCTCTCTCATTCACTCATACAAGTACACACACACACACACACACAAACACACACACACACACACACACACACACACACACACACACACACACACACACACACACACACACACACATATAATCACATGTGCGCTCACAGTCACACACACTATCACAAATCAGGCTCTTTCACCCGTTCCGAGGCAAAATATTTACCCCACACTCGGGCGTAAGGAAGGAACTTCTCACCGTGACTCCCATATGACACTGGACCTTGCCCATGGACTGGCTCGAGCTCGGAATGCTGCCATCTTGCGATAAATGTCGGTACTGCAGCCGTCACCTTCTTTAAGTCGGGCAAGCCCTTCTGCCAGCTGAGAATCCGAGAACCTGACGTCAGCAGCTTCTTCCACATGTTTTAGGATCTTGTATACCTATTAATACGGAAATGAATATAAGCAGCATGAATTCTGATGCCACGCCTGATACAGCTAATTGCGAAATGTCGTCTAACCTGTTCACTGACACACATTTCTTCCATGGCCCTAGGCTAGGGGCCATGCATGTGGTCACAGAGATAGGCTCAGTCAAACTTAAACGCTTGAGTTTGGCATAAACATTTACCTTCACGATTTTGTCCCCCCAAAAGTACTGTTTGATCATTCAATTCAGTTGTGACTAGTTGTATTTGTTGACAGTTGTGTACAATCAATGGACATCCCTTGGAACAATACAGACAAAAGCAGATACACACATGTTGGGGAGGCTTCGGAAGCGGCTGGAAAGAGTAGAAACTGGCCATATAGACTTAACTTGCCAGGGAAGTTGCAATTATATAGGTCCGCCTCCCTCCTTCGGTAAAGGATAGCTTTCGGCCACGAGCAAGGCAACCATTCAGACTTCTACGGCCGCATGAGTACAGGCTTTCTTCTGACCTATTTACGACTCTATAACTATCAAGACTCAACGATCTTCTTGGTCTTTGCCTTCTTCTTTGTCACGATGTCAATATTTTCAACGTTCAAGTGTTGGAGGGTCTAGTTCTCTTGCAAGGAATTACCGTTAGTAACATTCGGTTGAAGGAGAGTTGGGAAGGGCCCCTGAGGTCTGGGGTTAGTTGCGGTAGGCTGTGAAACAGTTGTCTCCAAATCGGAATCCCAACCACGCCACGTTCGGCTTGTACAGTCACTTACCAGTATCAACAATCAAACCATCCACTTGCTGCCTTATGGAAGTAAAGCCGACATTAAAGCTATCCAGTAATAACATTGCAACATCATGACAATAGAAACACCTTACAGACCACACCATACATACGCACCACAGGCCAACCAATTTGTAGCTGAAGTGAAAGAACGTACACTTTTGGACGACGAAAACACCTTGTATATGGTGACCTGGCACTGTTTTTAGGGCATATATCACAATTGCGTTGCGCAGTAGAGGCTGCCTGTTTAATATCTTTGCAAATCCTTTTTGGCGACGCCTCCTGGGGAGACTAATGGTAAAGAATTGTGTGCAGTTTGCAATAAATCTAGCTACAGTAGTTTTATGCCTCTTTGAGGGGGGGGGGGGATAATAATAATACCTTTTCTCATCCGGAAGATGTTTTATGCTATATAGGTGGGACAATTATACCTTAGAAGAGAGCCCGAAGGAGCTATATATAGAATACAACACGGGGTATTCCGTATCGCCCGAGGTATCGGCCCGACCGCGGGTCGGATCGCCCGACGGCCGCAGGCTGGAGGGCGATCCGACTCGCGGGAGGGCCGGGACCGAGGGCGATACGGAATACACCGTGTTGTATTTTATTTATGTCATACCCACCCAAGAAAAC